CCTTCCTCTTTGAGCAGTGAGATCAGTGAGGTGAGACGTTTTAATCGTACGGATGTTCCTAAGTTTTTTTTGACCAAGATAGCATTTTGATAGAAAAAAAAAAAGGAAAATTATAATTATAAATTATATTTTTTTAAAATTAAATTATAATCTTTCGAGAATATATGTTAGTAAAGAGTATGATCACTTTCGTAATATTATAATTAATCATAAAAATTATAATTTTTAAATATTAAATATTAAAATAGAATTTTTAAAATTTCAGTTCATCTTTGATGGCGTATTCCAAGTAACGTGAGATGAGCATGGATCAGAGCTTCAAGGCTCATATATGATGATACAATCAAATATTGAGGGAATTAAATGGGTGTACATAGTAAAAATATAGTGGTTCACCGGCTCAAGAGCTCGGCTAGTCCACTCTTCAATGGAGGTTCTAGCTCCTTTTTTTTTATTGATCATACCAAAGGTTTACAAAATAGATTTTTGGTCATTCGGTCCTCTCCCTCTGATGGGGGTGCTACATGGTATTTATAAGGTCATTCCCTGCTAAGAAAGATATTAGCCGAGATTCTTGCCCTTATTTCGTGGTCTTCTCCTTAATTCTAGGAGAAGATCTTGGTTGGTTAAGATTGGATGTATTGATTACAACTTCCTAACGCTTTAGGATGCTTTCGTGGTTATCCAGCTGTTATCTTGCCTTAAGAGACATTCGGCCCTTACCCTCTAACCTCTGCTAATGTGTCTGACCTCCTGGTCCGAGCTGACCTCCTGAGCTTAGCACTTGAAATTTATTTTAAGTATCATCAGTTGCCTCCCCACTCTTGGTCAAGCTGGCTTGGGCGAGGGCTGAACCTGCTTGAATTGATGAGGGTGGAACAAATGACCCAAGCTGAGCCCATGTCTTTTCCTGATCTCATGATGCCAGATAATCTGTTCTTGTTTAGCGCCGCTGCAACTGAACGGGACTTTTCCTTTTTTTTCTAAATCTGATCTCTCTTCTACCAGGTCTGATGAGAGTGAGGATGCTGGGACTCATATCAAGAAATGCAAGTGGGATGGTTCATCCTTTCCTTCATCCAGATCTTTCCTGGGGGAAGTTCTGTTTTCCTTTACTGGGCAAGAATTGATGGATCTACTGTCAGCGACTGAGAAGGAAAGGGATGAGCTGAAGAAGGAGAACCTGCGTTTGAAAGAGAGGATAGACGAACTGCAGAGACAACTAAAAATTTTGCTTTGATTGATTTTTTTGTAATCTTTAATATTCTTGAAACCTTGATTTTTCCTTTCCATGTTTGCCGCTTCTTATACACAATTTGTGGCTTTGAGAATTTGGCAGCTGATCTTCCATGTCGTTTCCTGGCTTGTGGACAAAAGACCCCCATTGTTCCTTTTTGTAATGGATAGAAGCTATGGAGCTTTCCCTCTAGTCTACGTGCTACAGGTCTTGCTTTTAGTTCTTCTGGATCGAGAAGTGCATTCTGAGCTGCTGCGTTTGCTTTAGGGATAGAAGAACTCGTCCTGAGTTACTGAGCTATTTTTATGGACTGATAAGTTCAACGTGAGCTCTAGGCCTCTTTTTATAAACTAACGAGTTCATCGTGAGTTCTAGGACTCTTTTTATGAACTAACGAATTTATCGTGAGCTCTAAGACTCTTTTTATGAACGAGTTCGTTGTGAGCTCTATGACTCTTTTTATGGACTAATGAGTTCGTCGTGAGCTCCCGATCTCCTTTTATGAACTAACGAGTTCATCGTGACCTTCAGGGCTCTTTTTATGAACTAACGAGTTCATTGTGAGCTCCCGAGCCCCTTTTATGAACTAACGAGTTCATCGTGAGCTCTAAGGCTCTTATTACGGAATAATGAGTTCCTCATGAGCTCTCGGGCTCTTTTATGAACTAATGAGTTCGTCGTGAGCTCCCTCGCTCTTTTTATGAACTAACGAGTTTTTTGTGAGTTTCAGGGCACTTTTATGAACTAACGAATTTTTTTTGAGTTTCAAGACTCTTTTTATGAACTAACGAGTTCATCGTGAGTTTTAGGGCTCTTTTTATGAACTAATGAGTTTGTCGTGAGCTCCCGAGCTCTTTTTATGAACTAACGAGGTCATCGTGAGTTCCAGGGCTCTTTTTATGAACTAACCAGTTCGTCGTGAGCTCCCGAGCTCTTTTTATGAACTAACAAGTTTATCGTGAGCTCCAAGACTCTTTTTATGAACTAACGAGTTCATCGTGAGCTCTATGACTCTTTTTATGAATTAATAATTTCGTCGTGAGCTCCCGAGCTCTTTTTATGAACTAACGAGTTCATCGTGAGCTTTAAGACTCTTATTACGGACTAATGAGTTCGTCGTGAGCTCTCGGGCTCTTTTTATGAACTAGTGAGTTCGTCGTGAGCTCTCAGGCTCTTTTTATGAACTAATGAGTTCGTCNTCGTCGTGAGCTCTCGGACTCTTTTTATGAACTAGTGAGTTCGTCGTGAGCTCTCAGGCTCTTTTTATGAACTAATGAGTTCGTCGTGAACTCCTGAGCTCTTTTTATAAACTAATGAGTTTGTCGTGAGCTCCCTAACTCTTTTTATGAACTAACGAGTTCATCATGAGCTCCAGGGTTCTTTTTATGAAGTAACGAGTTCGTCGTGAGCTCCTGAGCTCTTTTTATGAACTAATTAGTTCGTCGTGAGCTCCCGAGCTCTTTTTATGAACTAATGAGGTCATCGTGAGCTCCAGGGCTCTTTCTATGAACTAACCAGTTTTTCGTGAACTCTCGAGCTCTTTTTATGAACTAACGAGTTCATCGTGAGTTTCAGGGCTCTTTTTATGAACTAACGAGTTCATATTGAGCTTGTTTCCATGATGGAGGGGACCTGTCGAGATGCTTACCTCGGCTGTAACTCTGGATGAGGTAGTCCCAAGCGATCTCTGACGTTTCCCCTTCTTCGTTGACTTCCTTGAGGGGGTTGAGGTGTGGTTGCTCCCTAGGTGGTGGGTTGTTCTGGCCTTCTTGAGCCTGTCGCGCCTCCTGTGAGCGTTGTAAGAGTTTTAAGAGTTCTTCATTTTGTTTCAGCAAGTGTTGATTGACGAGGCAAAGGGCCTCCATCTCGTTATTCATGGGGAGACCCCCCACGGGTGGATTGGTCTCTTGGTCGTTCTCAAGTTGTCTGCTATTAGTAGCTTCTTGTTGATCTTGCATTTGTGGTGGATTTGTCTAACTTCGGCTCATGTTTCGAGTTGATATCATCAGTCACTAAAAGATCAGTTTATTTATGATAGGAACAGTCGTTTCTCACAGACAGCGCCAAACTGATGACGTATTTCAACGTAGATGAGCAAAAGGTGCAAGTAACGTGAGATAAGCGTGGATCAGAGCTTCAAGAATCGTATATGATGATGCAATCAAATATTAAGGGGATTAAATAGGTGTACACAGTAAAAATATAGTGGTTTACCAGCTCAGGAGCTCGGCTAGTCCACTCTTTAATGGAGGCTCTGGCTCCTTTTTCTTTATTGATCATACCAAATAGATTTTTGGTCATTCGGTCCTCTCCCTCTGATAGGGATGTTACATGGTATTTATATATTAAAAATAAAATTTAATCAATTCGAATCGAATTTGACTGACTAAAATTTTAATAATAGAAAAAATAATTTTAATCAATTCGAATTTTAATATATAAAAAGAATGAATATTAATCGATTCGAATTTTATATAGAAAGATTGTTTAAGATTTATGTAGGGACAATTTTAGTATTTTAAATAATTTTTTTATTATAAGTTGTAGTTTAATGACAAAGGTATCAGTGATGTTTAAATATAAACCAGAAGGAATATTAGTAATACTTTTGATTATAGGAGAAGTGTTTTTGAAGATATGATAAATTAAAAGATGTATGATTGAAATTTTTTTAAAAATAATTATAATTATTTAAAGTAATTAATAATCGATTATAAATTATTTCAAAATGTTATAATAAAAATGATAAATTTTAGTGTGTTATCATTTTATTTTTGGTTGCAATTTTAAATTTTAAATGGTACTTTTAAGAATTATATAATCTTCAAAATCGACGACGATATGTCAAATCACCTGTGGAATTCACAGCTGGTAAAATTGGATGTAATGGGGTCTCACTTTCAACGGTATGCTGTGTATTATTTCACGGATTTCGATTAACTGCTTTGGATTTTATCGTATGGTTTTAGTCAGTACAATAGTAACTGTTGACTGAGTTGAATGGCTCCAGAGAGTTTTAAGTTCAGATTTTGGGCATCTGCCATGTTCCGTCAAAATCTTTAGTAACCACCCTGAGTGGATAGTCCATTGAGGTATCAGTCATTTGAGTTTTGAAATTTTATATCGAAGTTCGATCGTTGATCACTATATTAATTTAGTTAAATTTGTTCTTAAAAAGAGCAAGGGATACAATCAAAGATCTCATAATCTCACTAGTGAGAGAGCATATCGAAATGATATTTGGATACTTTTATTTGTCCTCGTCCCTTCTTTTAAAAAAAAGATATTTAGTATTGGGACACTAATTTAGCCCAATAGATAAGAAAATAGGGTATTGAATTGTGCAGTCGAGGATGAGCGGTGGCTTAATTCTTCTGCAATTCACCGTTACACCTTTACGTCACGAGTTCAAACCTCGTTACCTTCTCCCCAAGTAATGTTCAAAGAGCTTGTAAAAAAAGAAAAATTGTGCAGTTCAAATCTTGCACCGCTGGCCTGGACCACGATTCAGATGGTTTTCGGGGACAAACTGGCGATTGTGTTGATTGGTGCAGTGTAAAAAAATTCGACAAACCGACAAATATGCGTCAAGCCATCCGACTGGGAGGATAGGGAAAACACTCATTTTCACTGTCCGGTTGACATAAAAGAGTGTGCGTGCGCGCGGGCATATGTAGAAGTACATTTATGCATGTCAAATAGCATATTTATCCACATCCACAGAAAAAAAAATACAAATAATTTACCATAAAGATTTCAAGAATAGCCAGCAATCATCTTTAGAGAAGCACTTTCAAGCTGTTCACTCAAAAGAGACAATGCATACTTCCTAGGGGCTGGAAGAGTTCTTTACATATGAAGCATAAGTAATTATTACTATAAAAAAATGGCTACAAATACAACATGATAACATTATCAAATGCAGACCAGGTATTGCAATTCTGATATTACAATAGGAATTGAAGATACAGAACCTTAAGTTACAGCACAGTAGAGAAGCGTCCACGGCCTTTTCTTTGATTGGGAAGCCAGCATTCAGTGTTTCTCTTCCACCTTTTGTGGCCAATTGAACTAATTGTAAATGCTGCTGTGCTTTTCTTTCTCTTTCAGGTTGATTAAGAATGTCACTGCAACCGCTGGTTCCACTGTTTTTCAGACATTACCTAGACATCAAACTCAGAAGAGATACAAGTGGATGTTGGTGCATCATTGAAACTAAGGTTGTTTCTGCAGAAGGGGATGTCCCTCACAAGGCCTGGATAGTTGCACATTATCTTTGGAGACAGTAGAATGAAGAGTAAACCCAAGATTTTCTCTAGCCCACCTGTAAACTGCACTTAATTTCCCTTCCAAAGCTTCAACCAAGATGTTCAACTCGTTTATTTCATGTCGGAAGAGAAAAAATCTGTCACTCCAAGCACAAGAACAAAGCTGTTTTGAATGAAGGAGACAGGAATATGTATTAGGGGAACATGCACAACCTGTGGCAGAAAGGTGTAGATCATAGAGGCATATGCTGCACTCCCGTTTGAGTGTAGCATCAAAGTCCTCCTCCATCTTCTGTGACTTTGAAGAACTGCAAAGATATTCCCTCCTAGCAGCTTCCTGCTTAAGGCGCGACTATCCAAAGGAAAAAAGCAAATATCTTAAGACACCAAGAATCTCTCCCTCCAGTAAGATATGAGCAATTACCACCAGTAAAATGAAAATAGAAATGAAATAGATAAAATTTCCACCAACAACAGCAACATGTATTGGATTGATTTGTTCAGTTTCTCAAGAATTATTCAGGTTTAAGCTCTAGGGTTCTTTTGGTTGAAATGGTTCATTTTGTTCTTCAAATTTCTCAACCTAGGGTTCTACCACTCTTTCTCTTAATATTTCCTTTACAATTTCCTCCTTTGGTTTTTACCAGCTGTTTTATTTTCATTCTTTTATTTTCCCTCTTTACTTTTTCCGGCCACATTTAGGCATTAGAATTCTGATGCTCTGTGCCATCCAAGCCAAAAATTATGACTCCTTCCAATTGAAATTCTCTAAGAAATGAAATTCAAATTTCACCCTATACTCTGTTCTCAGTACTGTGTGGTATTAATCACGAAACCTGCGCGTCATTATCAGCAGAAGTTGATTCACATTTCTTGAAATTTATAGGGATTCACAGAAGGATTAAGATCGGAGGTTCACATCAATACAAAATCAGGAATGCAGGGCTTACTTTGAGTGCTTTTGCTAAAATCCCATCTTTTCCGCAGACATTTTTCCATCGTAGATTATTCACAGAGTTCTTCCTTATTAGTGAGAGTTCCCATTGTGCCCTCACAGCTTCCCTGGCTGCTCCCAGCAACATTTTATCATGGGATATTGAAGTCTTTCTGTGCTTCTCACTGTACAGTTCTACGGCATTCTGCCCATGAGGCAGCCAGTCAAAGGGAGCAAAATGTACTGTCTCAGAACAATTAAAGCCACAACCAAATCCCGAGTGGTATGCTCCGGGGAAGACGAGGACAAACTCCCCGGGATACTGCATGCAGCGATATACAGGGATACCTTCAGACTTCAAAGTAGAGGGGGAGAGTTGGCTGACCTGTACCAGATATTTAAAACGCCATAACTGATCTATATGCTATAATATAGAGAGAAGAACTTTGAAGTCTAAAAATCATCCAACCTTCAGTTTTAAACAAAGCAAAATAAACAGTTTCATACCAAAGAAATACTTAACAGCACAGAGAGTTCAACAACAAAGCAACTGATCAGTGCATCAAATATGTAATGGGGATAAAAAATCAAAAAGCATTAAGATAGCCGACTCCACATGAAGGCTTCTTACTCTTTTCAAAAACTAATTATCTCACGGTTGTTGGCCCAAACAGTTACCACTACACCAGTAGTCCCCTGTGAAAATTTGAGGAACTATAATTTTCTTGAGGCCCAGGTCTGACTGTTAAAAACTCTTCATAAGTCATAACACTGTCTATGAGACTTCAAGGAACATTACCCCCGTATTAAATATAAGAGAAGCTGATAGCACCAGCCAATGTTTTGAAAAGCGTGCCCAGGCGAGAAGCGAGGCGAAGCAAAGGGATCTCGCTTGGAAGACCTCAGGCGAAGCGAATGTGAGTGAAGCGAGAAAAAAACGAAAAAAGTGCTCTTTTTTCGCTTAATCAAAAGGCGAAAAGCGAACGCCTGAGTAATTAAAGGCGAAGTTGTTTTATTTTTATTATGGACCGTTGGATTGGGCAATTGGAAAAAAAATTATAAAATGTTGATACACCGAATTATCCCCTTATCCCATAAATATAACCCCAAACCCTAATTTATACTCAGATTATTCGCTGCTCCTCCTACACGATCACTGGGCACAAAACACAGCACATGGAATCGATTGCTGCTCCTCCTACATGATCATTGGGCACAAAACACAGCACACAGAGTCGATCACTGCTCCTCCTACATGATTGCTGGGCACAAAACACAGCACATAGAGTTGATCGTTGCTCCTACTCAGAACACAGAGTCGCTGCCCCTACACAGAACACAGAGTCGCTGGTCTACTGATCATTGCTCCTTCTAGAGAGAGTCGTTGGTCTCGCTGTTTTCGCTGAAGGTTAGTTTCCTCTTTTTCTTCTCTCTTCTATTTCGCTTTTTTTCTTCTCTCTTCCGGTACTAGTTCTGGTTCTTTTTTTTTTTTTTCTGCTTCGGTTTTTTTCCCCTGATTTTGCTCCTCTTTTTTTTTTTTTTTTTTTTTGATTCTGATTCTGCTCCTACTTTTTTTTTTTTTTTCTAATTGTGCTTCTGATTCTGTTAACCACATGTGTATCTGATTGAGCTGCGGTTTTGTTGATTGGGTTGATTGTGCTACTGTCTGATTTTTTGCTTGAATTGTGTGTCTTATGTTTTTAAATAATAGGATTTGGGATATTATTAGTGTTTGAATTTAAATGTTTAACCTATGACTGTTATTAATATTTGAGATATTATTAGTGTTTGTTTTAATTTAAATATTTATGGTTTTACTTGCATTTAAATATTTAGTATATATAAAATTAGAACTTAGATGTTTAGAAGTAATTAAACTAAAATATTTATTTATTTTTTTAACTGTTCGTTTCGCTTCGGTAAAACGTGTCGCTTTGCTTCTCGCTTAAGCGTTAGGAGCCTTGATCACTTCGATTCGCTTTATGTCTTAAATAACACTGACACCACCAGCACTAGCAAAAAATGGGCAATTATATGGCAATAAGCTTTTGCTTGACGAAAGTCATAATTCTGGTAGCATCATCCTCTTTAGAATAAAAATTTGTTCCCAAGTATTAATTTCGGATTCAGAAACAAATAAGCTGGAAAGCGGCATTTTCACCTTTTGTTTATCTTCGGTTTCACAAGACTTGGATACACAGAGAGATTTCTAAACGAGGATTTGAACCATGCATTTCTAAAGTAGTTGCAGTTGCAGGCTTGCAGCATAGTCACAAAACTCATAGTCAACACTCACAAAACTGAGATAAAGGATGTAAAAAATACCAGACAAGGTATAGCTGGTGGCAAAACCATTGATATCTGGGAGCAGCATTACAAATCTAAATCCTACAGGTTACTGCTGGAGTGACAGAGTGAAAGAGACATAACATTACATTAGGGAGGGGAAACTAAGGAGTTCTTTCAATAAAAGCTAAACCTTATCTGAATGATCAATAGTTCTTGATAACGTCATATTGAATTCAGCTGCATAAGGGAAATTCATTAAAGAAATTATCTGGTGAAAGAAATTATCTGAATGTATAGCAATGGTGCCATCCCATGACTTTCCCTGGAGTCCATGGCTCTCGTGGAATGACAACATCAAATTTGCTGAAGGACTTATCATTTATCAATAAGGTCAAAGTTACCAAATGAGAAACGAGTAAATCCCCCCTATGCATCACCAGATTCAAATGTGATTCATATTTCATGCCATGTCCACCTTGTGAAGAGAACAGTTTATAAATATGAAGCTTCAATGAAGGCACTGTAAAGAAAATGTTAAGTCATTAATGAACCAATGGCTTGTGCTGACAGGCATGAACTACGAAATCATGATCCAAAAGCACCCCCTCGACCACCTTTTGAAGAGAAAAGGCAAATAGTGCAAATTGCCTCTATGCTATGCTTCTTAGTGAATAAAAACATAAATGCAACATCATATTTGACCATTTTTGGATGATAAAATCCCAACAAAGCATTGCTGGAAAAACATATTATGTACAGTTTTAAGCAACAGAAGCACACTCTTGCACAATTGAGATAATAACGAAGCGAACTACTCACCAGCTTATGGACCAACTCAGGATGTTCTAAAATTTCGGGAAAGTTTTTCTTTACAGTTGCCTCAAACTTGAAGGAATTTCTCCCTGGGACAGCATACCATATGTTAGGGGCACCCAAGTGCATGTAACAGAGTGAGTATAATCGATGCTCTTCTATTTTCTGTTTCACAAAAGGAATTGAATTAAACGGAGATGATCAATTTATGTCCACTACAGCTGGGCAATCCACACTATTGAGAAGAAAGTCAGAACAACAACCATATAATATTGTTTGGACTTTGAAGAACAGGTGCACAACAAGCAAGAGAACCCTAAATATATTCCTGCCAAATTAAAAAAACTCTGAATCTTACCCAAAAAAGAGATGAAAAACACATTCCTACTTGGAGTCGAGGGAGTAAAATGGAAGAAGTGTCGCAGCTTTCGAAGGCAAGAAGAGAACCAGGAAGCTTAGGGGTATTATTTAAGTTCCAACCTGATTCCACATATTCAGGATACTGGGGTGTCTCCAGTGAGTTGGATATTATTGGAAATCCACTTCCAAAAATTCTAGTTTCCATATCAGCACCATAAAGCACCTAGGAATAGCAGATCAGCATCACAAAGTAAGTTGCTCGATAGGAAATGGAAACGGTCACTCAATAGTATTGTCATACTTTCTGCAACATACCTCAATTGCTTCACTTGGAATTTCAAGGATTCGCCAGTATTCACCCTCAATATTCTCCACTGACGGTTCCCACTGCTCTTGGAACATTGTTGAATTCATATTCAAATCTGTAACTTCGTCTTTCATGCGAAAGTACTTGCTTTTGAAATCATCTGCATATTTGTTGAAAGATTCCAGTGTGAACTTTGGCCCATGTTCAAATTCCAAGCCTGCAGTACAGTGTCCAGTTTCATCAAGGTCTGTAGTACACCCATCACCAGACCCAATTTCGGAGCCCGTTCTTGTAATTCTTTTCCTTTTCGCATTCATCTTCTCATCCATTCCACCCTGTTTTCTCTCTGAATATAGTTTCTGAATCCGTTGAACACGGGAAGTAAATTTAGATCTTTCCCATGTGTTCTTTTCCTTAATAAGACATGGTGGCTGCCAGGAAGGGGGAGGAATGATACGGCAAATTCCGTACTGTTCTGCTTGTTGGCGTATACTTTCAACATACTTGAGTGTGTCTTTAAACTCCTGTCATAAGATTAGAAGTTCATGCAGATAGGCAAATGTCTACCAACCAAGGCACTTGACAATGAACAGAATTTAATGGGGGCATATCATACAGGCAGAAAAAATTAAAGTTGTAAAGAGATACCTCTTCAGTTGGGTGGAATGCAGGTGCCTCTTCAAGTATAGGCATGCATGTCTCTTCTGGACGCCACCTTGCACTGACCTGTTCCAAGAGTATAAGTTGGTGATTACTGAAGATCATGTGAAGGGGATTACTAACGGCTCTGGCATGAGGTGTTGATGGCAAGATGCCTAAATTTAGTGGAGAAAAATGTCCCCATCAGACACCATAATTTCAATAGTCAAAACAAGATTAGTAGGTCTTTTCAATAATTTGCTCTTGTTTTCTTGCTATGCAACCCTGTCCAAAACAAAGGCTCCTCGATGTTGTCATCAGCAATCATGGCAGCACAATCTGTATCCTGGTCTGATTTAGGTTATAGTCTGCAATTGCTGGCAACACAGCACCGCATGAACTCACTCCATATTCTTCTGAACCCTCTTCCAATGTTGTGGCCATTGCTCCCTATTTGCTGCCAATAATCATTGCCTTCCAACTCCAAATCCAGTCCGTTTCAAGCATCATTTCCAGCAGGCCGCAGCATCCCGAATTAGTATGACAGGGATTTGCTTCTTAACAATTTTGGTGACAAAAAATGAAATGTGGTAGACCAACTCCTGAAGAGTAGTTGAAGGAGGAGGGAAGAAAGAACTAAAATACTAATCAGGCCTGCATTGGCTTAATCACATCCCTTGAAGGGGGACCTTTTTGCCCACTAAAAGCAGGAATCTAGCAAACACCACCCTATATCAGGGACAATAGCAATCACCTTATAAAGAATTCAATGTAATGATAATTTAACCTTATGAAAGCCACCACAATTTGAACATCCACAGATTGCTCCTTTGGGAAGGCAATTTTTCAAAGGGAGATTCTGCAAAACAATGGATATCAGCACGGCAATGAATTTTATTTCAGGATCATGCAACAAATCTTAAGCATAATGACTAGTGATAAAAGCTGAAAACCTTTCCGTGATATGGGAAACTAAACCCAGTTGCATCAAAATAACCTGAATTCCTAAAGTGAGTTTTCATAAGATATTTATACTGCTTCAGCAATAAACACGTGAAGATGCAAGCACATAGTTCACCAGTGGCCAGCCTAGCGTTAAAACATATTAAAGTGCTATTGATCCTACAATTAATTATAACACACAGACGAAAAACTAGGGCCGAAATTCTCACTCCACACACCCCAACTAATAAAGGCATACTAAACACTTCCACAAAATACAGAACAAAAACAGATGAGGACTCACTTCAGCTAGAATTATTGGAATAAGGTCACATACAATTAACATTATTGACTAAGAAGAATAAAAATATTAAATTTGGAAGAATATTGTACTAAAAATGAGTTCCCCCTCTTATTTCATCATTTTTAAATATCACAAAAATGTTCATAGTAAAGTCACTAATTGCCATGTCGTTCCAGAGAACATCAAGTTAGATTCTTCAACAGGAACCACAACCCTCATGACTGTGCTCATCAGCCTTTGCTGCACCCGACTAAATGATAAGAACCCCGATTTTTTTTAACTTGTGCCCAACTCAACTTCTCAAAAGTGCATTTATGCAAGAATATTTTGTTTCTTGTCTTTGCCCTATTCTCTCACAACATCCCATCTGAAGATATAATTCACCAATGATACACCCTTTCTTTCCGAAAGTATGTTTGGAGCAACCATGACATACCGCTTATGCCATGCTCTCAAATAGCATCCAAGACTCTAGCTAATGAATATACTAGATCTTAATGAACAAAATTGAAAGTTCCACATAGTATTAACTTATAGGAAGCCTACGTAATGCAGCATCCAGTTTATACTATATCATTGAAAGATCAAATAAAACAATAACACAAAAGATAGAACACCATATCAATCTCTTCAGAGCCTGATTCCTCGGGATTGTAATCAAGTTGATTATGAAGTATCCATGGTCTACGCTTGAGAGACCTCTTAAGCTTTGCAATGTCGATTACATTGGAAGCAGTATCAATCTGGGCTGATGCTGGCTCCAACTCAGTTCCAAATGCCATAGAACTACAAGTTCCGTCACCGTTCTCTACTCTCCTCAGTATGATTGACGTAAGAGACACAAAACCAGGTGGAACTGAGAGCTTGTCCACATTGTCTTTTTTAGAAGAAGTCCTTGTTCGTTCTGTCCCCATCAGTGCTGTGAAAGGCAAGATAGAATAAGTAAATAGCAACATTGAAAGAGTCCATAAGTCCCACTGAGAGAGAGTGATAGAGAGAGAGAGAGAGAGAGAGAGAACGATTAAATATCAGCATACCTAAAAATGCTACCTTTCTAACCCACTGTAATATTATACATAACAATTCCGTCAAAATGTCCACAACCCCCCTTGGTGTATTATAAAAGCTTCACAAGCTCATGTACGACAAAAGGACGAAAAAAAAGATTTACAAATAGCAACATTCAGATGTATGTCTACTAATGGGCTCAAGCTAATGCAACGTTCACAAGAGACTTTGATCACATCTAGTTCAGAAACTTTCATGAAGGCAAATGGGGGATGACCTAATAATCAGATTCTTTAGGTGCTTCTGTTTAGTTTGGTTCTCCTACACTTGTCCCTACAATGAAGTAGATCAGAGGCTCAAACTGAATGCAACTCCACATTTTTTTTTCTCTCAATCCAGACACGTAACTGGAATAATCAAACCTAGCCCAATAAAACTGGGAATGCACAGTACAATGTATAGTTAGGTAGAGTACAATGCATAAACCTGGTAAATTTCCCATGAATTCCAAGGTTTCCAAATCATTCTGCAAAAGAAGTACTTCCACCTCAGCAGAATTTTACACACACTCCACATGCACTCAGATAGTTCCATTACATGGAAATTGGCATGACCAAGACGATGACAAGTAAAAGGATGACCAATCCATCATGTGTTTGTAAATTAAATCCATGTAACTCAGTTTGGTTGTCAAGAAGTTGAATAAATGGGACAGTGGGACCTCACAACCACAGTTCCTGCAGAGATATATAAGCTTTTTTACTTCTTCTCAGCTGTTTTGGGGTTTTTTGTGCGTGTGGGTGGGGGTTTGGGGGGGGGAGGGGGGGGGGTAAATCTCTGTTCTGCACAAAAAATGAAGATATAAATTTCTTGTTAGCTTCTTAAGGATCAAAACAAGGTACAGTCGCAAAAATTAAGCACCACTCACTTATCGCTGAATACTATAAATGATGAAGGGTAAGAACCATTATGCGGCGGTTCTAACTTCCAAAATCATACCATCACACCCACGTATGATAGGAACTCAATCTTTATAGTTCACCCACGTACAAATCCAAATACTGACACTCATAAAAAATCTAACAACTAACAACCTTCCTAAATCATATATTAACCAGTAAACATTGCAGTTATATACAATATAATCACATCAATGCAATATTTAATCCAAATACACACGCAAATCGCAATTCTCTTGAACATATCCAAATCCTTCTAGCTCTTCATATTCACCAATCCGAATTTTACAAAACAGCGTTATTTGTGTTGGCAATAACTTCAAATCCGGTTTATATACCAGCTTCAAAAATGAAAGAGGGTATACCCCACAAATATAGACACATATACACGAACATCTGATGTCAAAAATAAAAGAAATTGAGCATCATCTAGTAAGCACCAAGTTTTTTTCACCACAAAAAAAAGTTCATATTCTAGCATATCAAAAATGGGCATGCAAATCAATTGGTCAAGGTACCCAATTATATTAAATTAATCTAAGGAAGCCAAAAAAACAAATAATGAATCCAAGTTAAGACATACCTAGAGAAGAACTGTGAGGAGTGACAGAGGGGGTGGGGTTCTACCATTTATATGTTCTTCAATTGACTAAAGAGTGCAACAATTTCCATCAAAATTGGACCATGGTCAAAGATTTGTGGTGAAAAACCCTAAAACCTAAGACAACAACGCTCAAACGAACGAACCAGTTCCGATGTGTGCTATCAAACCGAAATTAATGGCAAATAGACCTACCGAGAAGAGTATAATGAGACTTTGGATTACATCAAGCATTAAAGGCCCGTTTGGTAACGTTTTTGCTTTCGTGTTTTCAAAAACTGCGAAAATAAAGACAATTTTTGTCTGCCTTGTAATAAACACTGAAAACAAAAAACATGTTTGGGAGTCATCTGTGTTTATCAAATAATGAGAATAAAAATAAAAAACATATTTGGTAACTACTTCAAGTTATATACTAAATATGGTTTTATTATATCCTAAATATGTTTTATAATATGTCATAATAGTGATCCATTTCTTCTCTCTCCATCTTGATTGGGCTTGGAGAATCACATGATGTTCATTTGTAATTGCGTTGTACTCGTCAACCCATATAAAACAATTATCAAACCAAGCTCAACACAAAATACCCTCATACAAACAAAGAATTAAATCAAGGCTAAATGAAATGGAACATATTTTCCATAATCAATCTTATTTTAGCGAACTAGCAAAAACATAAGATGAGTGCTTTTGTTAATGATCTAATATTGTTAGTACTGAAATTATAATCAATAATTTTGTGTTGTTAGATAGGTAAATATTAATTAAGAGTTGACAACCATAAACCTCCCCGGTGAGTAATGAATACGTTTGTGCCTTTTAAGGCCACACTCCCACTATTATTTGAAGCTCCCAAGTTCTGCCTGCCAGGGACATCCACATTCCTTCAGGGTCTCTCTAAATTGGGACTTGTCTTTAGCACAATGGGCTAAATAGCTCAATTTACTTGCCTTCAATGACTGGGACAATAGAAACCCACCCTTCATGACCACTTTGCTGCCCCATTAACGATTTAGGTTTCTTTTTCCCTTAAACAACCATTAACAAATGTCAAAAACAAATAAATAAATAAGAAGAAATGATAGCCCAAGTAGGTTAGAGCTCGATTGAAGTGAAAAACAGAATCTGAAAATGACCCAAGATTTGAACTGCAATGTCGACGGCGAGCACTCCAGGTGGGTGGGTCAATGACCTTCACGTATTCATATTGTTCAAAAGGTAGAACAAGGCAAGTCAATTGTCATTGTTGATAGCAGATTTAGCGAGCTTATGACGTATAACATAAACAATATACATTCTTTCAGGCACTTCATCGAATACTTTATGGGCATATAACAATCAATTTCAATTTCAAACAGAAAACACTAACACTAATTTCAAACCAAAAAATCAGTACAATCCAACCTTCAAGCTAAGCAAAAACGAAAACCTAAATGCCAAGGCTGCTCCGTTTGAGTTCGACTGAGAGAACTTGAAGTCGCTCAAGTTCAACTGTGAGAGAGAGAGAGAGATAGAGGGCCTGATTCGTTCGGCTGTGTTGGAGAGAGAGATATCCGTAGGATCAGTGGCGGAGCTAAAAATATTATTTTAGCGTGGGCACGTATACTTTAACAAGTTTAAATTTTTTTTTGCGTAATTGATAAAAATAAAACAATGTATTTATATTTAATTATATTCTATTTAATTTTTAAAATTTTATTAAATTTAAAAGACTAAAATTGTTAACTATAGTAGATATAAATGACAAAAAAAACAAAACTAATAATATTATTTTACCAAATAAAGGCTAATTAAAATTATTTAGAATTGATTTGTTGAATTTTTATATCTTGAAAGTATTGCATTAACTTTATTATTATTTATATCCATATTATATTATTGCATAGCTATTTAAACATCTCCAACCTAGTTCTCCAAAATAACTAGTCAAAATATATTTAAATATTACATTCTCTTTTTAACTAGACAATTGTTACAAATTTACTCTAACCACACTCTCTACTATTTCACCCAATTTTCACTAACTTTCAATAATTTAAAGGGAATACAACATATACAGAGAGAGAAAAAAAAAAGGTAGATAGAGAATTTAGAGAGACTAAATAGCTTTACACATTTGGAGAGCCATTTATGAAATAGAGAGTGGATTGGAGAGTGTTTTTAAGGTTTGGTTAGCTAAAATAACTAAAAGAGAGGAAATAAAGAATGGGTTGCAGATGCTCTTATCATCAATTCGATTATACAATAAAATATATTTTTTTATCTTGTCATGATAATTATTAAAATAAATGTTAAAATTATAAATAAACTCATTAATATATCATATCTTTTTTGGTCTTGATTAAAAAATAGTGTGGGCACAATTTAATATATTAAAAAAATACTTAAAATATACATAAGTAATTTTAAAAAAAAAAATTGAGGGTGGGCATAAGGTGGCTCCGCCCCAGTGTACGATGAGCGCTAGGGCATCGATAGTTGAAACAACACTAGAAAGGGCTTCGATGATCAAAGGCATAGCCACCCTTGGGCGAGGGTGGGCACACGCCCTCCTCAATTTTTTTTTCTTCTTATTAGACATGTATTTTTGAAATAAAGTTTAGATATAGTTAATTGTACCCACCCTAATATTGTATGCTAGTGATATCGATTTTAATAGATCTCTAACTAAGTGATTATTAATTTTTTGAATAATATTATTAATACCTAATACATTGTGATATTAAGTTTAATAGTGAGTCTTAATATTTAATAAACTCTACTATCTATTCAATAGTCACAAACTATTGTGTCTCTACCAATAAATCTCAAATTAGATGGAACTAATACTATTGTTAATTTTTAGACACACTTTAGACATGTTCGAATATTTTTTAAACATATTGAAGTTATTTTATATATTTTTTAAAATTTTAGGGTTATTTCGTTATTGAATAAAAATATGTGTCATTATGTAATAAACTATAGAATTATAAATGGAAGATTGTTACTATGATTTTATATATAAAATAAATATTGCTGATAAAATTAATTTGTAACTCTTTAAAATAATAAAAGCATATCATTGTCAATTTTAAGTGATAATAATTAGTCGCATTCTTGATAAAAAGTTCTAATTTTTTTTTGTTCATATTATGTATATAGGTTTTTAATCTTCTTTGTATATTGAACTTTTAAGTATTAAATATAATTTCAATAAATATAAATTTAAGAATTTTTACGATCAATTAAAAAAAATTAAAACATATTAATGTGTCCACTATAAACAATTTTCTAGCTCTACTCCTGTCGATGATGATGGAGCTGGCATTATGACGGTGGCAAGGTCATTGAGACTTGAGAGTAGAGAA